TAGATAACCGAGTACTTATTAACCGAGTAGTAATTATAACCGAGTAATTATTAATATGTTCTCCGATATTGATTCCTTTATAGGGTCGAAAATAAAGTTTAAGAATGAGATAAAACGGTATATGGCGGTAATATGTAATTAACGTTTTTAATTTGTTGTCAGTGATTTCTTTTTTATATAATTTTTCTTTAATATACAGTCAGAAGTCTTAATTTTCCTAATTTTTTTTTTATTCTAATTTATTATCAAATTTTACTTTTTTTTAATGGTTATACAGGTGTTATTATCAAATAATGTGTTTTTCTGAAAAAAATGATGGTTTTATTAACTTCTGAGCATTATTATTGACAATGTTTCTGTAGTTTTCAATAGTATTGTTTAATTTTGTGTTTCCTTCACTTATATTATATTTGTGCAAACTTTAGTGGCTGCCAAATTACTATTTAAATATATGTATGTATTGTTCTAGCAGTTTGTTTGCCTTAAATAAATAAATAAATAAACTTAATTTTTTATACTACTATGGTGACAAACAAGTATACGGCCCATCTGATAGTGAACGGAGTTACTGTAGTCTATAGGCGCCTGCACTCGTAACGCCAAGGATGTCAGGCACGCGTTGCCGACCCTTAAGAAACCTTAATACAGGGTGAAGAACCCCATGCTGTAATCTTTAGGGAAAGCTTCAGCAGACCCTGAGTGTTCTCGTAAGGACTCTGCTCTGAACATTTAACTTTTTCAGAGTTTCTTACCAAAAAGGTACAAATGTACTTGTTTGTCACAGTGTTATAACTCAGCACCTACTAATGTTATCGATTTGAAATTTGGAATATTTTTATATATTGTTGGCCCACGCATATTTATAATGAAAATATATGAAAATAATTTTTAATTTCTTTTTAAATCTTATTTTTATTTGTTTTTAAACTGATTTTTATTTATTTTTTCGCTGAGTAGTTTTTTAGTTATAATCGAAAATGTAAGAAAGTATATTCTCCTCCCCCCTCTCCCTCCCTTATCTTTTATATTTGCGGAAAATCAAAATTAACTACAGTTTATAAAGATTCGTATGAATATTACAAGAAAAATAAAGCAGTTTTTAACTAACACCGTTTTTGAGAAAGTATCAGAAAACCTTCAAAAATAATCTCAGTTCAGTCAGTCTGTAACCACATTATAGCCTAAAATAAGAAATTACGAATTGTAGCATCAACAATAATAACTTTTAGGCATCTATTTCGTACTAGCTGTTACCCGCGACTTCGTCCTTGTAACGAGAACATGAATCGTATGATGCATAACCGGGATTAAAAATAGCCTATATCTTTCTCCACATATTAAATTAAATTATGATTGGTTGAGTCTATAAAGCGTCACAAATTAACAATAAACAAACAAACATGTTTTCATATTTATAATATTAATAGCTATTTATTTATATTTTACATTATTACATGTATCATATCTCTATATTAAAAAATAATAGAATTTCATTGTGCCTCCGATCAAACTGTTTATAATTACTCCTCTCCATCCAAAAGTTGCCTGGAAAAATCGCTTTTAGCGATAAGGTCACCCAATTGTTTTCTCATTGTGAGTATTTCGTGTAATTGTTTATGTTTATAATAAGTTTACTATTGTAATCTTTTGGAGGTATCCATCCATCTATCTATCTATCTATTCCCGCACATATTCCTTGAGGAGAGTTATTCAGTTATCTTATTAGGTACTAATGTTACGCTTTTTATACCCTTTTATTGTACTTTGTATATCTATTAAAATAATAAATACAAATAAAAAGTATACTCAAGAAAATTTTCTAATTTTACTAAATGCCAATTATCTCCAAAATCGACAGCACATTTAAGTATCAAGAAAAAGAAATAAGTGTTGCTATCTCTCAAATATTACACGCCAAGTCGCTTTTGCGCTCATAAAGTCTGTCTCATTATACTCATAGCAAGAAATCGTTATATTTATCGTTGAAAACCAGTTTCACATTTCATAAAATTCGTAATACGTTGCAATAAACTGGAAACATCAATAAAACACATGACCGCATATTCTCATGGCGTTAATGTTATTTTAAAGGTCCATAAGAGAAAACCGTAGCGACCGCAATAGACATTTCGCCTATCAGATGATGATATAAACGGTCTAATAAGCTCTCAACATCGTTTTAATGAAGATGAAGTGGTAAACTTTCGTGAGAAGCTATTGGCGAAGTTGTAGCTCTTAAAAAGACAGTCTATAAGAAAATGTGGCGGTTTTAATACATTTTATAGATGTTCTTTGAAACATTACGATGTCTAAATATTCGATCAGATTTTCTAATATAACTTTAAGTGCCCATATTTTCAACTGACTTTAAAAAGAAATTAGATCTGAATTAGATTGAGTTTTTATTTACGAATGCGTCCTAAATATTAAAAGTATTCGACTGAAAATAATTTGAGCCTAAGCTACAACATGCACACACCTACTATATGCTACTAACATAAACACTTTCATATGAAAGGGATTGTTAGTAATAGTACAGATAATATAATACTTTTACTAATAGAGTCTAACTACCCCCTATTAGCAACATACTTTATAAGGTCGACCTCCACGCGGTTCCCCCTGGAAACTTTCGTGGTTAAAAAGACATATATATATTTGCCTAGTGTATATTAAAACTAATTCCAAAGTTAATCTGAGAATAAAAATATAAACCATATTGCAAAAGTCCTCAGGAATAGCAACGCATAAAGGATATCATGGGCGACACAGTGTACTCTGTTTTATCCATGGTAATGTTCATGTCTATAGGCGATAATTACCACTTTTTATCAGATGGGCCATCAACTTACTTGGGTGGGAAAGGAAGTGTCTATAATGGGGTCTAACAGCCCCATTGCTAACAATATACGCTATCAGTTCGACTTCCATGTGGTCCCCCTGGAAAACATCGTGGTTCATTCCAGGTGAATTCAATACTATGAGCTAACTGATCTATCTTCATTCTCACCTATCATCCGTCACTTGTGCCTTGCCAGCATATACCGATAGCACGTGCGGGGCTAACATTCCATTTTCAGCCGTTAAAAAAGAACAGTTGACATGCCTCTCACTACGCCATCAGCATGCAAACTGCAATAAAGACATTAAATTTATATTTTAATAATAGGTATATATTTACTTACGTTCACTGAAAAATAATCAAGCTGGTATACCTACATTACACGACGCATGCTCTTAAAATTTACCTCGTAATTGTTTGGCATGCGACGACGCGTTTGAACTTAATTGCCGCTCATAAAAATTTTGTTTGTATCCGAAATCGTTCAACTTCCGCCACGATTTTAAATGAGGGCTGCATTCTCGCCGCAAAGATTTTGCATCTCTGCGTTTTATTTTTCAGTTTGACTTTTCAAAGTTTTGTTTTGTAGCTACCTCGACGTTGAATCAGGTCATTTTAATGAGTTTTGCCCGTAGGTACTTAATGAATACTTGATAATAACGGTATTAGACTTTGTTTATTATAATATGGTATTTTTCATGACATTGAAAAACTACGTAATTTTTTTTTATATCATCATCATCAATCAATCGTTAACTGTCTACTGCTAAACACAGGCTCCCTCCATAGACTCGCATAAGTAACGGTCTCGAGCCACCTGCATCCACTGACTCCCTGCAATGCATTTGAAGTCATCGCTCCATCTAGTGTGGGGTAGTCCTACACTGTATTTGCCCGTACGAGATAGCTGTTCAAGAAACTTTCTTTTCCATCGGTTTTCGGTTCTTCGACTCACAGGTTACAGACTGGTTAAGGACTTTCGTTTTTAAACTTTAAGGTATTTTGGATAAAAATTCAAAAGCAGAAATTAAAGATTCATAATATAGGCTGTATAGCTTAGTTAGAGACTAGATGACCGGAGTTATATGGCCAGTGGAATTTATTATTTTATAAATTTTTAAAGCAATAGTATTAATATGTTATTCTAATGTACATGGAAATAAAACGTTTCCAATTCACGTAGGCAAACTCTATTTATTTTTAAGTGTTACGTGCACGCGAGAATTCCATGAATATTTTATTAGTTCCTTTACGGGGGCACGTTTATGTAATTTTACTAATAACTACAACATTCTATCATAATTTCAGTAATTTACTCAACGCTTACGGCTATAACTGAAAGTGGCAAATGTTTTTTTGATGAATTCATGTTCATGTTACGATAATGTATTTCTATTTTTATAAAATGTAATTGATTAATTTTAGTAAGTAGATAGTAATATGAAGAATGTATCCTTGCTGGGGGTGTTTTTCTAAGGGTGTTTTTCTTCGAGGATTGTTATTTTCTAGTATATTTTTATACTACTCACAGTGATAAACAAGATTCCTATATAAGAGTAAACAGCAGGGAAATTACAGTATATGCATGATCATGCCATGTCACTCTAAGAACCGAGAATAATGGTGTTAGGTTTTTATCAGTATATTGCACTGACTTTCCCATCAGTCTGAACACAATAATGCACAATAATGGATCACTTTTACCATCAATTGAGATGAAATATCTATTGATGGCACCCAATGCTGTAAGGCAAAAATTAGGTACCTTCTCAGGTGCCTCGAATAAAAATACTAATATTTACTAATTAATACCTTTTTTATGGATCATAATGGAATAGTAACCCTATCTGCGCTAACAGTATATGCTGGCGAGGCATTAGTGAGGGATTATAAGTGATAATAAAATGGCAGGTTAGTAAGCCCATCGTGATGGACATACCTGGAATTCAGCACGACGGTTTCCAGCGAGAACCACATGGAGGTCAACCTGACACGATATATTGCTAGCAATGAGACTGGTAGTTTACATTACTTTCCATCCCCTTCCCCTATAGTATTTATATTAGGTAGAATGTATTTTACAGATATGTAAAATTAACTATGTATATATATATGAACTATGTATAATTATTAACTGTATCTATTTTTCTTGTTACAGACAAAACGCAGTCTCAAACATTCCTAAATCATGGGGCTACCTTCGGAACTTCTAACACAATCTAAACACTGCCAACGAATACAAAGCGACAGCTATGTATATAGTTGAACCAAAGATGGTTAAATAGAATATAGACTGTTTAAGTGATAAAATGAGCTTATAAGTTAAGTTGATGTCAGCGGAAAGGGAGAGGATGCCTTACTACGGGTACCGAGAAGGGGGTGAATCGGACTCGAGTGGGGGGTGTTCAGAGTCCGACGGGGGCGAGTCGGACTCTGAAGGGGGGTTGAGTACGGAGAGTACGGCGGGACAAGGCCTGCCGTACCCCGGCTTTACCCCCGTCGCCCTTCGGTATCTTACGCAGGAGACAAGGCCAAGAAGTTGGTGCTTGAAACTAATCACCAATCCATATCCTTTTTAATAAATTATATATTTTCTGGTATGTAATTAACTTAAGCATTATATTAATTTACTTTGATATATTTATAAGTCAAATAACATTTTAGTGCTTTTTAAGATATAACTAAATACATTTTGTGCCGCAAAAAGAATAGCAACTTCAATGAAAAATGCCAACAGACTAACACAGAAGTAAACCCTATCAATTGCAAAAAATATTACGTATATCAGTTCAGAATTGACTGCATAACAAGGCCACAAAAAATACAGATGAATTAAGAACTTACTTCCTTTCGATAATCATTTAAAACGAACTTGAGCTTACTAGTATAAGTTCGCTTATTTTAAGGAGTAAATCAATGTAACCACATTAATTAACTCCTTAAAATATTTGAAAATATTCCCACCATTGTGATTTCTATAAATCATAGATCCTGATTACTTTTGTAAAAGTAACTATTATATATAATTTATGTATGTTGTGAAATCGAAATGGAAAATTAACATTAGAGATTATTCTACAAAAAGGTAAAAAGGAAAATATTACAACATATATATTAGAATGAAATAAGCAAGTAGGCCATCCACCTACACAATATACATTCGAAAAGGATTTCATAGGATTATGAACAAAATGAATTCTATTTATTTTTACGTTTTAAAGTTTAATTAGTTTCAAATTATTGAAGTTTATTAGAGTTCAGTGTACTATATCAGGTAAAAAAAAAAATCTTTGGTAGAATATGCCCGTAAAAAGACACCGATGATTCCGATTTCACATTTTTGTGTCTTCGTTCTTAGCTACTAGTTATTTCTCTGCCAAATTTCATCAAACTCCATCTATAATTTTGCCTTAGACGAATTTTGATAGACATAAAAAAAACTAAGTATAATTAAGTTTCAACTTGAAACTGCCTTTAATCAAAATGTATAGACATATAGTATTAGAGACTGCTTAGTAACAAAGTATCTCAAACCGTCGCGACAACCATCAAGACAACATAGTATTCTGCGCACTGGGGCCTTACAGAATTCATTACTCGTGTATTTACCACATTCATACATTGTTACACAAACACAATGTAAATCTTGTTTGTTATTTGGAGATAGTATTTCCATTCTAATATAGTATCATAAATACCTATGACTTCAACGCGTTATCTGAATAAAAAAAGCCTATTTCTTTCCTTGTTTCAAATACTATGTGTATGATAAATTTCATAACAATAATGACAAGGAATAACATACAAACTAACTTTCTCATTCATAATATTAGTAATAATTACAATAAATTACGAATATATTAATAATACGCAATTATAATATATATATATATATATATATATATATATATATATATATATATATATATATATATATATATATATATATAATAATACCCAGTGTTATGAACAATTAGATAAGGAACATCTAAAGGTACAACACAGCATCAACAACAACCTAGTTTTTTTATAAATAATCCCTAGCAAGCTCGAAACACTAATCTGGGAGTCTAAATTTTGTGTCTTTGTTCGTACCGAATCGGCCCAGTAAATAAAACTTAATACAGAAATACCTCGTATTTATGCAGTAGGAAGGACTGAACGATAACCGCGTAAGTCGAAGTCGCATAGTCAGGGTATAATCGTTAACGCCTTTCTGTGAGCTCCTGGCTCCTAGCTATGCATTCACTTCACGGACGCGTTCGAATATGCAAATAAGCTTAACAATAATGTAGAAAAAATGTGAGTAACCTAGATTTCTGTAGCGTTCAAACTACAAAATGGACGACAATTGAAAATTGCGTAATTCTATAACTATTTAATTTCTGACTGAACGGCCCACAGACGTCCTACAAACTAGGACGAACCCGGGGAAATTCGTACGGATTGCAGCCCCAACATTGCCGAGTACCTATTAAATAATTATATACAATTCCACTCTAACTGAATCAAAGACTAAAATGTAAGCTTACACATAATTAAATACCTACACGAGTGATGTTGTGTACAACGTTCCTGTATAGACGCTGTTATTTTATTTATATTTACGTCGGGTAGCTAAAATTATCTTTCAAAGTATTTACATAAAACCTGACTGCAAGTCAATCATAGTGTTGATACATATATTCCTGTAAGGTTAAATAGTTTAGTTAACTTAATAATTTGAAATTTTGAGCTGATGGTGGGCACAATATGATATGTGGAAATAACAACATTTCTATGTACACATTAACAAAAAGAAAAAAAACATTTTGGTATAGATTATAAATTGTGAAACGCTAATTTCTAAAATTAAGTACTGTCTACAATTTCAGTTTTTCAATTTTATATTCATAATAAATTAACAATATTTTTTTATACCAGTACAACATCTGTTTAAAAACTTGCTACTCTCTTCCCCCAAAACAGGGGAGAAAGTGAAATAAAACAACAGAATACAAAAAATAGAACGTGAATTTACAATGTTTGGAAACAGTTTGTAGAGTGTTAAAATTGGATTTTGATGATAATAAGCTACGAGAAAAATCTTAAGATGCAGATAAGTAGATAACGTGTAATCTCTTTCCCAGCTAATTAAATAAGTAAATTTAAAAATATTAGTAAGTACTTTCAACAGTTGCAAAAATTATATGAAAAATATAAGAATAAATAAACTAGTTATATTATAATTTCCTAGTAGGTATGATAGAGAGTAGGTATATAGCACTGTTTATTTCTCTTGTTATTGTTATTTTAAAGATCCATATCAAATAAATAAGAAGTAACCCTTATGATCTTATTCCACACGACAATGTGCTATACTGCTGTATTTCAACAACTAGATATTAATACTATTGATTTTAAATTTGGAATAGTTTTAAATATTTCCAACGCACGCTAATTTATTGACCCAAATTTAAATTTTATATCTCATATGCTACACAAAAAAGTTTACAATGAAAGTGAAAAATAAATTAATTAACTACAGTCATTTTAATGTAAACGACAAGGACGGTGTTTGCACGACTTGTGAATAATTGAACCTGCAAAGAGATCAAAGCTTTGACGTGTCTATCAATGAAGCATCACTGCGCAGGTCTCTAAATTGCACATGTAAATTTATTAATAGAGACCCGCATAATCTGTGTGAATCCAGTACAGCACTGTATCACAGATGAAGTCTGGTTTGTGATAGTTTAGTCTGTGAAATTATGCAGATACATTGTGCATACACTGACTTAGGTGCTATCATTGTCTGACCGTACAATTTGTAAGGGACCAAATTAAAAGTTTGTCCAAGCTAAACTTGCAAAGACAACTATGTATCTTAAGTTATTTAACAAAGTTGACAAATCAAAATAATTTATTTTATGAATATATTAAGTGAACTAACTTATTCTACTAACAAATAACCACTCATAGTCTGGAATAATATCATTTTATAACTTGACAAAATTTTAATATACACTAAGATTTAGCTCTATAAAAATAGCGTCTTAAATTATTATGGATACAACATGAGATTAAAAAAAAAACTAATTGGAATCGCCGATTTCAAATTGGCGAAGATATTGAGTAACATACAAAAAAATACAGACGAATTGAGAACCACTTCCTTGTTCTAGCCAATTGAAAAATGAATCAAAATAAACTTGCTTACGACTTGTAAACCCAAGGAGAGTAGATATTAGCTAACTATCGCCATTTTGTAATAACCATTAAACAATCTATGCCGTTGTGTTAAAAGCAGCAAAGCACTACGTTATCTTTGATGTAACATACGTATATGATTTGCTTATATTCCGCTGAGAATATTTCAATGGCGGAAGCTTATATCTTCGAATTAATTTGTTTTAGTTAACAACGTTTACCATCATAAGAAAATTAATTAGAGATTTCAATCAATAGACAAAGTTAGTGCCAATCGTACTTTCCTAAAATAATGCAAAGTAATTGCTTAAAGAATAAACATCATCATTTTATTGTAATTTAGCATCTTACGTTTTACAGTCGTTTGTTTAAATGCTCATCATGCTCCAGCAGTAAATTAACAAGATTTATTCCATTTGCACTCCATAAACACATAATTATGCAAATTGAAATGTATAAACGGTCGACAGCAAGCGACGACAACAGACGAGATCTAATTTCGTGCAATCTTTACTGTAACAAGAGAAAACTTAGTAAATTGAATGAGGCCTGAAATCGGATTAAATGCGGCTCAGTGACATTTAGCTTTTGGGTTAGTCCTAAGTGTTTATTTTGGGCAAATTGACGTATTGATTTTACTTTGTATAATTATTTTCTTTTTTTAATGTATTTTCATATAGGATATAAACTTTATAAGTAGACTTAAATTTCTTATTTTTATCATGATTCTAATATAGTTTCAGAAGGTTAACATTTATTGAAGAGAAACTTTAAAATACAACAGTTTGTTTGTTTATAACGCTTTATTGCACAGTAGTCTTAAGAGGTCTTAAGAAAAGAATGAGTACAATGGCGGACTTATCCCGTAAAAGGGACCTCTTTCAGGCAGCCTTTAAATGTCTGATAGAAATTGTAGATTGGTGGAGATAAAAACAAATAATAGCTAATTAAATAAATAAAAAAAAAATAGAAAAATCATATTAAATTTATTAGTATTTATTTTTTAATCTTTTTTAATATTATGTGAAGAACCATATTAATTTCGACTACTGTGCTTGTATTACTTAATACTGTAAACATACAGTAAACAAACAAAACCAATTGGTTGCGAAACCACCTCTATGACTGACTACATTAACGTAGTTTAATTTATGTGTAGTTTTATTGTATGTTTACATTAGTTATAGTTTCTAATACACACTTATACAGGCAGAAAATATGCGAACTTCTTTGTAAATACTACCCTTACTAATAACATTTTAAAGGTATCTAAATGTTTATTATTCCTCATTAACTATATGTGCGCGTATTTTATGGCGTGAGATATACCTAAGCTACTTTTTTACCAGTTAATATCTCTCAGTCACGCAGACAAAATT